GATCCAATCCACAAAAGGATCGGTCATCGTTTTTCTTTGCTTTTCAGGTATGAATTTCCTAGTGCTACTACCTCGTTTTGGTATCCTTGACTTGTCTAAACTCATTCTTTATTTGTCACTTTCCTATGCCTACTCTTGACTCAATTGCTAGAGACCTTATAGTTTTATTAACAATAATAATGACACAACACAATAAATTTCTCCAGATTCTATTAAATAGTGACCACGAATCCCTGTATGTTGTCAGAGTACAGTTTGTATAAAATTTATTCACACTAGCCGATTATCGGTCCAAAGATCTGGAAACTAGCACAATATGATGTTATCAGTCAATTTAAAAGATAGTGTAGTCACTACCCAATCAAGCACAGTTTAGGTTGATTTAAAATCAAAAACAAAAAATATATATTGACACAATATGAATGTATATATAAAAAAAACGTATGTGTCTTGTACTCTTAGTCGGTCGCAGTACAATAGTCGAACCTGTCTTTTAAAGAAAAAGATTTCCCTGCTTGGTGCTGCACCAAACAGACAAAACTTTGAAGGCAGTGATTTTCTCAAGTGGGCGTCTATTGCACCCACCGAGTACTGTGTTACCTATCTGCCTTCGGACTGCCCGAGCTAGACCTACTAAAATCCTCAGGGCAGTCACTTTTCCCAAAAACGTATTATGTTACAATCCACACCAATGAATCACGCTCTTTTTAATTTAGTGTCGCGAATATCCGAGTTCGGACCTGTTTTGTTTTGGTCTGGTTCTTATTGAAAAGCAAGTTACCAGTGCCGTCACTGATACCTAGCCTGTGTGCTGATAACCTAATACCTCTCACTTTTTAGTCTTTCTTTCGTTTACCTAAGTCCTTTAATAAAAAAAAAAAATACTCCTCCGGATTGGCACAAATAGGACCCTTCCGGATTAACAAAATCTAGACCCCTCCGGATTGGGACCCCTCTGAGTTGGTTAATATAAGACCCCTCCGGATTTGGACCCCTCCGAATTAGCAACTATAAGACCCCTCCGGATTTGGACCCCTCCTAACTTGAAAAATCTTTGACCCCTCCGGATTGGGAGCCCTCCGGTTTTGTAAAAGTGGCTTTTCGGAGATTTCCTTTTTTCAACCTATACCCCTCCGGATACGTTCTCCGATGCAATTATGCTCTTTCAATTAACTGGGAAGGGTATTTACTACCTTCCTAGACCCTTCCGGATTGAAGTTAAGCCTCTTATTTGACAATTCACGCTAACGGTGAAGGGTCTTATTGCTGGCCTAACTTCGGCTCGATTAAGCTTTTGCTGTGCCTTTAGCCCTCCCTTTTGGTCTAGAATGGCCTAAAGTTACTTTATTCAACCGCTATTACCTTTTGGTAGGGGTCTAAGGGTTTTTCAGAAAAATTTATAAAACGTGAAGGGTGTACCCCTCCGGATTTGTGTAATTTGCTAAAAACAATCTCAAAAAATTTTCACGCTTACTTTTCCAAAAAATTTCTGACCCTATCAGTAAGCTCAGCTAATTTCTGATCTATTGGTACCAAGATCAACTCAATATGCTCAGTAGTTCCAAAGTTATTAACTAAAACGTCTTTCTTGCAAACTCAAAAAATTTCTCACTTATAGGTTCCACCTAACTTTTTCCGCAATTCTGGTCCTTCCGACCTAAAAATTATTGATCCGAGCTCAGAAGGCTTATACTCTTCTAGTTCAATGCAAAAGACCCGATCTAAAACGCTTTGATAGAAAAAATTTGCGAAAAACTATGCTACCTGGACCCCTCCGGATTGATGAATCCACCAAATCAAACACGTTATGTTCGATTTCTCTGCAACCCGGAAGGCTTTCGGGTAGCGGGTTTTAAAACTCGTAGATTCACTAGTGGACGTTGTCCGAACAACTATTTTTACTGTTATAACTCAAAAATTTCAAAAAATTTTCTAAATTTATAGTGTTTCGTTTTCTCAAAAATCACGAAATTTCAGTTTTCGGTACCAAAATAGTTCCAACCACCTTCGAACTTAACTTAACCGGTTCTATCTATTATAATAGTGCAGTGACGATGTAACACACTAACTAAGCGCTTTTTTCCGTTTCAAAAAATATCGATATCTCAAAAATCGCGACTTGTGGGGGGATCAAAATATCGCTATTTTGACCCTAAAAACCGGTCTGTTTTCGTTGTTTTTCACTGAAAAACGATATAAGACTATTAATATAGGCTATATAAATAATAATATTAGTAATACTATACCCCTCCGGGTTTCCTCAATATCCGAATTAAGGTGCTTAACTCGGATATTCGCAGTTCGGTGAAGGGTCACTACAGTGCAGCACTGTCGCGCCCCCCACAGATTACTATCTTACTTTTTGTACCAAAAGGGATTCAAAACTTGTTAACGATACCCAACAGTCGATTGTTGTTGTCGTTGAGCCCCTTCCTGTTGCTCCTTGTACTGCTTGCCGGATCGGTCTTCACCCATGACCCTTCCGAATTGAGCGCAAATCAGCTGACCCTTCCGGATTGAGCGCAATTTATCATTAACGTGCTTAAATGCTCAAATAACCCTACAGTACAAGCCTCACAAACGGGCTACAAATTTGATCGTAACGGTCCTGACTGATATAAATGCCTGTAACAACAATATATCTATCAACAACAAACGGGGGGGTTGAATCACATCTTGTCTGGGGGGATGATTTCTACTGATTTTCTACTTTTTTACTGTTTTTGGTTTTTTCGGTAATTTTTTATGTTTTTTGTTTTTCTTGGGTACTATACTACTTTTTGTTTGGTTTTACTTATATCTTTAAATGTTTTTGGTCACAAACCACTCAGGGGACGAGGGGTTCGCGATTCCCCCCACCCTTCCTGATTCATGAATTTTCGGTCTTAACTAGGTTAAAAAACTATTCACGGCAATCCGGAAGGCTTCCGCGTTCCGAACTACCCTTCCGCCCCGGCAGTTTAGGCCTATTAAGGGCGTTAATGTGAGCATCCGCTCGGCGCGGAGTGCTCGTTAACGGTTCCGCCGGTCATGATGTTACGAAAGAATAACACCCAGGAGCGCCATAAAAACATACATGTAACATTCGCCCGGAAGATACATATCGACGGATAACAAAACTAAGTCTTAAGACGACTGGCTAGCGTCTAAACAGAGCTTTGCATGTTTTTCACCGTCTCTACCAAGCCAGTACTTTTCGGTGGTCTTTCTTACATCAGGCTGACAAAAACGTTACTGTTCTCCGGCTTCGACCAGAACGCTCAAATTAACTGAATTACATGCGAAATTAGTGAGCTCATGGCTGGGTCTCTGCATCCCCAGACCACGAGGTCACTCCTAAAAACAGGGCTACTACTTATCATATTACTATTGTTTTTGTTCAGTAGATAAAAATCATCATCTCCATCGAAGATGGATCAACCCTTTCCCCAACTCCTAGCACCTCATCCTTGTCAAAACTAATCAAAATATCAGTTAAATTCAAGTCAGGACATGACCGGATGCTAAAAGTTTATATGAGTTAATAAAAGTTTCCGTCCCGAGACCCTTCCGGATTCTTGAATCCGCTGAATCAAGCTCCTTACTCTTGATTTCTCGCTAATCCGGAAGGCTGGTTCTCACCCTTCACCGTTGTTGGCAACGGCCTTGCAACTATTGTAGCAGCACAATAGTTGCAACTTGGAACGTTCTCTGCTATTCTGTAGTTCGTTGTCGTTCTCCAATCTCGATTTTCGTACTGTTCGCAATCGCAGATAAAAGTTGTTCTGTTTTTTACTCGCTTTTTTGTTAAAATGGCCGTTTCCGCATTTCTCAGAAATGTGACGTCATCATTCGAATTTTTGAAAATTTAAAATACTAGAATATTCTAGCCCTCACCGTTTGGCTAAACGTTCCAATAACGTCGCTAATCCTTCGAAATCATCAACTCGGAAGGCTTACTGCTCAAAATTCGAATCCTGCATAAATTGCATTTTGGCCATTCTGGTCGAATGTCACACACGCCGCTTGGTTACTCGGAACATTAAATGACAAAACAAGTTTCGATGAAATTCTTTATTTGTAACTCACTTATTTTTGTATATTATATTTTCTCGTGTCGACTTGCGTGTTCTTAGCGAAGAAATGTAACACGTATCGAGTTCAATTGTAAGGACGTCAACACTCATCTCCTTTTTTTTTTACTATTATGACTTCTATATCTAGAAAATTACAAGGAATTTGACTGGAATACGTGATGAAGGGACTCCTGACTGTGACCTCGGTTACTATGATTGTAACATTTGCCCGGAAGTACATATCGACGGAAAATAAAGCAAGGTTCTAACAAGACTGGCTAGCGTCTAAACACAGCTCTACATGCTTTTCACCGTCTCTTCCAAATCCAGTTCTTTTGGTTGGCTTTCTGATATCGGGTCGACAAAAAAGCTTTACTGTTTCCGGCTTCGATCAGAACGCTCTAATTAACTTAATTATATGCAAGAATAGTGAGCTCATGGCTGGGTCTCAGTATCCACAGACAGGGCTCCTACTTATTTATCATATTACTATTGCCGTACCAACCCCCTTCCTTTTTCTCGGGATTCTCGTTTTAACGATTGTAGCGGCACAATCGTTACAACTCGGAATGGTTGTGGGTCACAACAATCTTCTTATCGTTCGTATTTCTCGTCTGACTCTGTCTAATTTTAACGTTGTTCTCGTTGAGAATACTTGTTGTTTGTCTTTTTGCCGTTTCAGTTGGTGCAAAATTTCGATGTCGTCACGTGTCTTTCTTTTTGAACGAGTTTTTAAATCTTAACATGAAACTCCAAATTAACCCCTCGGCGTTCGTCAGAATTAACGATTAAGACCTCTAATTTGTTAAAACCGTTAATCTTCCCACTCCGATGTCACAATAAAATTTTGAATTCTACTTTGCATTTTCGTACATTCTGGTCGAATGTCACAGATACTTTTGACCTTCTGATTACTAAAGAAAAATTTAAGATTGTACTTTTTCCAGATTATGGCATCTACAATTGTTAATGCTAGCAAATCAAACGGAAAGGATGGCAAAGAATCAAATATCAAGGTTTTCGTTCGTTGTCGTCCCATGAATTCAGCAGAACAGAAGAAACATGCACTACCTGTTCTTAGTCTTAAGAAAAACGAAGTTGTTGTCCGCCAAGATAGTTGCAAGCAGTTTACTTATGATCACGTAAGTCTTTTTTTTGTAGTAAAATGCATTAAAATCGGCAAAGGTGTATCAAAGTTGGCATTTTAGGTTTTTGGTCCAAATAGTACCCAGCTTGAAGTGTTTGAAGCCATAGTTCACCCAATGATTCAAGAAGTGCTACTTGGATACAACTGTACAATGTTTGCGTTAGTAGTTCCTTGCTTCTCAGTATACTTGATAGTTGGGACCCTACAAAATTAAGTTCTCGGAAAACAACAGTTTGATTCGTTTAGCTCAGTTCGGCATCCATTGTAAATGCGAAGAACCATTTATTCATTGAGGTAATTCAGTTTTTTTATTAGGGTATTTGTCTATCGAAAAGTGACGTCGCTTCTTTATATGAACATCAATAACTGAACTTGTATGTTTCCGAATGCTGAATCCCTTGTGCTCTTTTAAGTGTTTATGAGTAATTTGATTTTCATTTGATTATTTTTCCGACCCCGTCAAAGAAAATGAATGGAAGAAACTATAGCGTAGGGTGGAGATCAAGTGTGGTATCTTTCTGAAACCCTAGTAACCGTGATTCAAAAAAATCTTGTTGATTTAGCGATTCAGCGTCGAGAAAAACTGGTGCGAGCTTTTCCATTTTTCAAACTAAATTTTACGGGGATGGATGGTATAAGGCAACGCTCGCAATATCTAATTTTATAATTTTTTAACCCATGTTCACAACTTGTTACCTAACGAAATTGCCTTGTCTAAAAAATGACAAGTTTTGTCTTTTTTTATAACTTGATCTTTTTTACACTCGTCGCGAAAGCAAGTGTCTTGTTATCGGGAAAAAGTATTTTTTCCGTAAACAACTTCTGTTACATATAAAAATGGAACTTTAAGCGTTTTTATTGAATCTTAACACATTCAGACTCCTACTCACTTGATCTAAAGTTCTGAAATTTGACACCCGACCGGTTTTTTCCAATATGTATGAAATTCTGAGAAAAATTGAATAAACTAACTCTCTTTTGACTGCTAATGTTTTGTTGGCTTAGCTGCCACATCACGGATTTTACTTCAGCAGTAAAAAGTGTTGTTGATACTGTTATTAAGAGTCGATGAACGTCGTGAGCACTACTAAATAGGTCGTGATGGTTTTTTATTCAGAAAAAGTTCCGATATTTCTTGACGCTCAAATTCGATTTTTCACTTTTTGATTTATTTTCAAGTTTAGTTCACTCTCCGTTAAAAGAAATGCAAATTTGATAGTAAAGTTAACCTTGCATTTAAGAAAGGAAATAAACGGAATCAATAAAATGAAATAAACTTAAAAAGAAATTGAAAGTCAATCGGCGAAAAATCAAATTTGAGTTTGAACTAATTTCAAGAATTTTTCTAAAAAAATATCTTATCTCCGATTTTCCTTAATTTCGCTATTCTGTTCAAAAGTTTGTAAATTTCAATGTGGTAATATACCTAAGCTTTATGAACCTTTATTTTTCATAAATTTTTTTTTATACAATGCAAAACATTTTCGTCTGTTCTTTGCCTTGATGTTGCTTATCGCTTGAGATAGTAGCATAGTATTGCAATTTGTTAGTATTAATTGTGTTTCTAGGATAATCAATTTTTCCTGGTAAATTGTGAATAAACGTTGTGAAAACGCTTCTATAAATCGAGTTTTCTACAGGAAAAAATCATAATACTTGTTCTCGCCAAATTGATTGTTTGAGGTTTGATTATAGTCGTCTTTATAAGTTCCATTTAAACTCATTTGGCAAAAGGAAAGCAAATTTTGCTTCTTGATTTCAAACGCGGAGGAATGGCGCAAAAAAAACGTGAGTCACTTAGAGTTTCGAAAGTGGAATATAATTTTAAGGTTTCTCAGAGGAATAAAAAAAAATGCCTATTGATCCAGTTTCTCAAATTAACCAACGAAGTGTATGTTCTATATTTTTTCTAAGAACCAAAGTGCTCTAAGGCCATATGTTCAAAAAAGTTTTCATTTCTTTCGGTTTTGTGGCTTTCAAAAACAGTTTTGCAACTGTAGGTTGGCTGTCTTAAGTTTTGTTTCAATTATTTCTAATTGACCTGCTTCAGCAAAAGTCAGCAGAGAAAGAAAATTACCAGTTTTTCTGATTTGGAATATTTCATAGAAGTTAAAGTAACCGTTTTTTAATGAACTGTTTCTAATGGGCTTGAAATATTTAAGGTACGGTCAAACAGGAACTGGTAAAACGTTCACAATGGAAGGAGAGCGATCAACTGGACTGCAAGGGAATTGCTCGTGGTCCGAAGATCCCTTCTCGGGAATCATACCTCGAACTCTTCACATGCTTTTTGACAAATTAGAAGGACAAGATTTCAACGTCAGAGTGTCCTACATTGAAATTTATAATGAAGAAATAATGGATCTGATGGCTGATAATCTGGGATCAGACTGTGCACAAAAAGTTAAAATATTTGAAGACAACAACAAAAAGGTTCGAAATTTTTTGCAAGTTGTACACGAAAATTACAAAGGCTTCAACTTTTTTTCCAGTTACTTTTCAAAAAAAAAAATTGTCATTGATTCATTAGAGGCAAAGTGGTTGATAAAATTTTCAGGGAGCAGTCATTTTGCAAGGGGTGGAAGAAATAACCGTCAAATCGAAAGAGCACGTCTACGCCATTTTGGAAAATGGATCCAAGCAGCGGAAGACAGCCGAGACTCTGATGAATGCGCACTCCAGTCGATCGCACTCTGTGTTCAGTATCACAGTTCACATGAAGGAGAACAACGAACAGGGAGAAGAGGAATTGTTACGAACTGGCAAGCTCAACTTGGTAAGAATATACGCCTCGCTGGACTAGGATATCGGAAGTTATGAAGTATTTCATCTTTAAAATGACAAACCAATGAAATGTCATGTAGCATATCAGCTTGTATTGGCGTTTGTTCTAGTGTTTTTGACCCGCTGAAAATTCGTTGTAGTTAAGATAGGAGTAACTGAGATATCACATCAATGCATAAAAGATTTTAGGATGGGACTAATTCAGGTATACTGTTCATAAGGTTTTGTTGTATAGGCTGCTAGAGCTTTCTTTTTTGAGCAGATATCGCCAAAAATATGCGAAGAAATTGAAGGCTCGAAGTTAGCGATTTTCGTGGTTGTTCTGTGATGATAATTGCGTATCATTTTCTATTTTCAGGTTGATTTGGCTGGAAGTGAAAACATAGGCAGATCGGGCGCCGTAGAAATGCGAGCACAAGAAGCGGGAAGTATTAACAAAAGTCTCCTCACTCTCGGAAGATGCATAACATCCCTTGTAGACAAGAAACCACATGTGCCTTACAGAGAGAGCAAACTAACGAGGATTTTGCAAGATTCTCTCGGAGGCAGAACAAAGACATCCATGATTGCGACAGTTTCGCCTGCTTCTCATAATATAGAGGAGACTTTGAGTACCCTTGAATACGCTCACAGGTGAAGATGACTTGTTTTTTTTTGCATCTATTTGGTTGCTTTTTCTATACTCAGATACTGTGATTTTTGCTTTCTAAAAATTCGGACATTTGACATCTTTCAAAAACACTTGAAAGTTTGATCAATTGAACAATCCCCCCCCCCATATTCTCGCGTGCGGAGGGGAGATGGCTCAATAGGTACTTGAGACATGTTTATAACCACTTGAAAATAGTTTGAATGATATGAAACCATGAAAGAGATTCTCTAACGAATTTTGAACGCCAAATTTTACAATATCAAAGGTCAAAAATTTCATTCAGATTAAAAAAAGAATCAATAAAACTGAGGCACATTAAGCAACTTTTTTCTGACCTAAACGGAAAAAAGTTATTGTGTACAATCAGGGGCGGATTTAGGGGGGGGGGGGTATGACGCCGCCCCCCCTCAGAGATTACACCCCCTGCCGACCCAAAGGGTCCCCCTTTGGTACTTTTTAAGAAATCCATTGTTGGCCGACCGACCCCAAAGTTTTTCTAAAGGCGCCTTTGGCGCCAATATATACTAACTTAGGGGGAGCGCGCGCCAAAAAACGCGATTTTGTTTGTCAAAATTTTCCAAAAAATGCCCAAAAACGACTTTTTTGACCTGTTTTTTCAAAACTTTGCCTGCGGCGTAGAAAATTTGGCCAAAATAGCGTCTTTTTAGCGCTTTAGATATTTAGTTTTCCTCATTGAAAGGCAATGATTACGCAAACAGAAATTTGCAATTTTTCTTTCAAATTACGATTTTTTCTGTTTCAAAATTTTTCTCGATACTCATAATATAAAATGAACTTCAGTCGGTCAATTGATTGCGTGCTATGAACACACCTTGCGTTTTTTGACGAATTTTTGCAGCGTCTTAGTGTTTTCTTGGGGGAGATAGCTCAGTTGGTCATTACGGGGGGTGGGGTTGCTCAATTGATCCAAAAGTTTTGATGATTAATTAGAAGCTAGAAATAGTTAAAGAACAATTTACAAAATTTCAAAATTATTTTTGCCAAAATGAGCAAATGATCGGAGGCTTTGTTTCTCTCAATTACAACTGTAGTTCTGTGTGAGTTGTTTAGGGCGAGGAGGATAACGAACAAGCCGGAGATAAACCAGAAGATGACTAAGCCGGCCATGATCAAACAGTACATGGAGGAGATAGAGCGACTGAAGAGGGACTTGGCGGCCCAGAGGGAGCAAAAGGGCATATTTGTGTCCAAGGAGAACTACGAGTGAGATTCTTTTCTTCAGTCTTATTGACATTGACTGACCAATAAAGGTTTTTTGGGTGGGGGTACATAAAGGATAGGTGATTTACAATTTTCCCCATATTCGTTTCTTATCAGCCTGTCAAAAAGCTCTTGTTTTCTGTTTCTTACGACATAGCCTTTCAGTTTTCCTGTTACATTTTTGATTTTTTGAAAACAGAAATGTCGACGTTTTTTCTTTTTAAACTGTGCTATGTAAAATGCGTGTATATAATGTGATTTGCATCTGGTTTTATAATTTAATTGGTCCGAATTATGACAAATTGAAAATGTGATCTTCTATTGTAGGTCCAATGTTTGTACTGATATTGATTGTTTTTGTTCCAGGACGATGGAGTCCCGACTGACTGAGCAGGACAACTACATCCAGAGTCTGGAGGAGCAGATGAGTGAGTTGAGCGAGGAGCACGAGAGTGTGAAGAACAAGTTCGCCGGTGCAGAGTCCATCATCAAAGCCAAGGAACAGTTGATAGCCGAGGGGGAAATGAAATTGGTCGCCACTGGTTAGAAATCCTCCTTGATATTGTTTCGATTTTTTATGTAACTGGCCAGATTTCAAGAAAAATGTGTTTCGAGCATCCTCAAGTGTATACTAGTTATCGAATAATTGAGAAAAAACCGGGTAGTTATAAAGTACATGTATCATGTGAACGAGCCTGTCCTATTTATTAGCTTGTTGGTTAAAAAATTTTGATTCAAATTCGGCCATGTGTACTTAAATTACAGTAGGAGACACAACAAAAATTTATCTGTAAAAAACTAGTTGTTCCGACCATTTGAAAAATGCGGAGGAACTTTGTATTCGTGTGCTTTAGTTTTTTTGTTTTCGAAGCAACATCAGGTATCACAAATAATCATCGGAATGGGTTGAGTGATTTATCATATTAAAACCCTATCAGTCTTGAGAAAAACCGGTTAAACATATTCGCGTTTTAGTCCAATTTCGAGCGAGTAAAGCGAACGAGTAATGGTCGCATTTACACTAGCAAGCTTGCGAGAGTTAGTGTATTAGTACGACCAGTCTTTTTTGTTCTAACCTAAATCGCAATTAAAAGTTCATTAAAAGTGTTAACTTATTTGGTGGCTCTTTTGCTATAATCAAGAACTGTAGAATTGGAAATTTCATACCATCTGTAATCTGCTTTGTTCGTGGCTAGTGTTTGTGATGCATTGAGCGTCCGTGGCTGAGTGGCTAGTGTGTGAGACTCATAATCTCTCTTGTAAATGGAATCCGAGACATTGCCGAAACTTTACTAAATCGAGGCTCATTTCTACTTTTTCTTATTGCCTTTTATTGAGCTTTTTGGTCTCGCTAGTGTTTGCCGCTGTGTATATTAATATTGGACACTTAGGCTAAAAAAACATGATTTTACTAAAAGAAAAAGAGTTTGATAAGCTTCATGAAGCGCTTTCTTGGCCATAAAAATTTTCATACAAATTTAAAAGTTTTAGTGCAGAAAATTAGGAAGCTTTTTAGAAATTGTTTTTTAAGACAATTGTAGTGTTTCATGCCTAGCTCACTAACATTATACGCGTTTGCATAGTTCTATAATCATACCACGCAGTAGAAACGACGCTAATTTGAAGATAAAAAAGTTTTTTTTTGTGTAATTTTTTAAAATGTGGTCGGAACATTCTGTGCTACGCGCACAGCAACCGGCTATCATTGTTTATTAAGAGTAATGAGCGTAGTGAAGACTTAATAGATTTTGCTGATTTTTTTGTTTTTTTTTCAGGAAAAGTCTTAAAATTTTGATGCACTTAGGTATAATGCACTTTTTGAGTTCAATTGAAATTCAAACGCTGAATGTGACGTAAATAGCACTCTCCAATTATAAACGTGTAAATGACACAAAAAACGTGAACGATTCATAGTTTTGATTATGGAATTTATATTTAAGATTTCCCGGCGGAATAAAAACTTTACCTTTTGATCCCGTTTTCTCAAGTTGGGTTCATGTTATCAAAGCGCCAATCATAAATTGTTCTAGAAATGCAAAGAGATTGACGGGCATCTATTTTTTCTTGGAAGTTCGAAAGTTGAGATTTTTTCAAGAAAGTCGTTGTTTACTTGCGTTCATTACTCTTTTCCAATCTTCGATTGGCTATGTTCTCTGGTATTTGTTATTAGCTGTTAATCTAGGGCGTATGCTGCCGATTGTTATCAAAAGCAATTGAACCTAAATGAAGTTCAACTCCTGATTAAAATCACTTTAAAATAAAACTGAGCAGTAAAGAAAAATATATGGCCTTTTAAAGTCAAACTTGTGAAAGAGAATACGATTCAATGTTTAGAAGCGAAATTGGTTGATTCGACTGAAAGATGTATGCAACAGAAGCACGTGATTGCTCAACAGGAAACAAACATCTCAGAGCTGGAAAACTACTCCAAGCAGGTTGGTCACTTCAAGTGTCAAAAGACGAAGTGATTTAGCCATTATTTTAAATATTTTTTTTGTAGTTAAAAGAAAGCCTTACTTTGTCTTATTTTTCGAAAACTTAATTCCAAAAAATTGACGACTTGGCGCGTGAAAATTTAGTTATGCTTAGTTTGTGACCGCAGCGAAAATTTTTCTCAATCATAATGAAAAAACATTTTGTTTTTCCTCTGAATTATTTCTCGTCGAAACACCAAGCATAGGGCCAATATGTTTCCTAGCTTAGCCCGAAAAAAATGATATTTGACATCATTTCGATAAGTTATTGTGACTAAAATATCAGATATCTGAGTTCATTCAGTAAACTTGTTATTTTATTTTATTGATTTTTTAGTTTATTGCCAGAGGCCTAACCCGTATGCGCCACAACGACATACCTATTGGCTGATTTTATAAAAAGCGCTTCTACTTTTTAGTTAATAGAACACATAAAAGAAGAGCAAGAAGACAAGACTAAACTGCAGACGAGTGTAAAGAGAAAGATAGGCTTGGAGGAGGGCAATGAACAAGCGAAGGGACAGTTTGCGAATAACATGGAGGGCTTGTGGGGCAGATCACAGCAGTCGATTGATCAGCTGATTCAGTCTAACTGCGAACAGTCACAACAGCTGAACTCTTTTATTGGTAAGAGAAGCTATCTGACTTAAAATATTCTTTTTGCATGCAGCGTTGAATTATTCAGTTTATGGTATAGAAAAGAAAGGAGTTAATAAGGCGTTTTAGGCAGTTTTTGGAAAGTTTTAAGCAGAAAATCCCGTTTTTTCGGAGCGTGCTCCCCCTTCAATATTAGTATATAATGGCGTCTGTAGAAAAACTTTCGGCTCGTTCAGTCAAAAAGGATGTCAAAGAGTACCGAGACTTAGTCAAGTTTTTACTTATTTGAGGATTGTTTCAAAAGTGCCTGTAAACGCCTTTTTTATCCTGTTTTTTCTTTGTTTGCCTGGGGCGCAGGAAATTTGGTCAAACAGGGTCTTTTTAGTGCTTTGGGAGAGTTGAGAAAATCCATTTAGTCAACCTAAACAAATTTTCGAAATTTTTTGAAAATCCGCCGCTCTCGAGAATCTTCAAGATCGGCCCCTGGCCCAGCTTTCGCTGCTAATAATTTTTTGCTGCAGATGTGAAGGTGCAACAACAATGCAATGACATGATGAACACATACAACAGCATAGTGGGATCTATGACATCAGATATGAAGATGACTCTCAATCAACTACTAGACACGTGCTGTGTAAGTTAGTTTGTTAAGAAAGGTTTATAATATACCGTATCTGGCGGATGGATAATGCGGATATACTGTCGTTGAGTATAATGCGAGCTTTTCAATTGGTAATGTTAATGTATGTTACAAGGTTGAGCTAATTAAGTGCTACGATTGGAACCATAATAAGAATTGCAATGCATTGAAAATGAAAATGTATTTAATGGTTTTGATATCGGAGCTCGACAGTGAAAGGTGGATTGGGCTGAGTGCACAATTTGAAGTCTTACAACCCCTCGATATCTGCAATCCTAAAATTTAAAATGCATTTTCAGCAGTAAAAATCATGTGTTGATAAATTGGCGATTATCTATGAAAATAAAAAGCACTTTGATAGTTAAAGCAACAATTTCTTTTGACTTTCAGGATAATGGGATTGATGAGATAGTGAAAATAGTGGTGCATCATTTCGAACAGATCAAGATCAAAATTCAGCAGAACTACGACAGTCTCAAGTCAGAACTAGAACACAAGGTAACAAAATTCATCTTCTGTTTTTAATACTGACGCTAATACTGACGCTGATTGATTTAAAAAAAAATTAAATTGCAAAAGAAAGTAGTTTTTTTTTTCATTTTTTAAATGAAGAGTATATGTCAATGATTCAATATTTCGAGTATATCTAGAAAGCGTGTAAAATTAGACCAGTAACAAAATACCGTTTACTTGTGACATTTTGGTGTTGAATTTGTCATTTTTGGTGTTTCTGTAGATGTCAAGTGAACGTGAGAAATTGAATGAGCTCAAAAACAATTTACTCGAGTTGGAAGAACTAGAAAACGGGAGACAACAGAAACTGGGCGAACAAAAGAACAGCATGAATGAAGTGAGGCAGAACTACAGTCGTATCCAAGAACAACTTCAACAGCTGCAGTCTGAGCTTACAAAGCAGAATGATACCCTGGCCGACATTACATCCAAACAAGAGGTCTCTTCGCTTTTGAATTGTTTTAAGTTGTTAGATTTTTTTGAGGACTTAAAACGGTGAGCGTAAAATTTATGCCTTCATGCGTAAAACTTGTACTTATAATTGATGCAATTTGAATCAATTTTAAAATAATAAACGAGTTAAGAAGTGTGGCGCAAAATTGCGCGAAAACTTACAAATTGGGAAGTTTTCAGGGATAAGTTGAATAAAAATACGAATCACTCAAATGTTTTGTTTTACTAGAAAGTGGAGAACGCATGCTCTCAGCAGGTCAAATCAGCCCAACATCAAATAAAAGAGACATTGGGAAGTTACGAATCAGCAATAAGTTCCAACTTCGAGTCTCTCTCGTCCTCTCATCTGGCTAAGAAGGGCGAACTGGAGAGGACTGTGGGCGAGACTGAAGGTCACGTGACAGAGGAGTGTGGCAGAGTGAAAGGAAATTTGAAAGAGTTCACGGAGGTCAGTTTGGGGTTCAAGCTACTTATTTTATGGAGTTTGTTCTTCATTGTATTCGTAGGTTTTTTTTTTCATACAATAATTGACTCATAGGTTTCAATGGCTGTAAAGATAAAATTTTCACGTAACAAAAAACATCGTTTGATATTTTGGATGCTCTAAAGAATCAACGAAAAAAATATTTAAGCTTCTTACACAAGCAAAGCTTGTGTTATAGTATGAACTCAATTTTTTTCCAACCTAAGTCGCAAATATTGTTGCGACGCAAATATTGTTGCGACAAAATAAGTTCATTTTGAAAGTGTTCATTCTGATCAATAACTAGCTATTAAGTACAGCCAATGCTAATGATATTAACCTAGACTATCATATTTCAAATAGCACTTTAGCTTCAAGGTATCATGGATCTGTAGCGTAAAGGTAGGGACGGAGACCCGCATCAAAATAAGAGAGTTCGAACCTGGGCAGGGTCGGATATTTTTAAAGAACTTTTTCGTATACTAGTTAAATTTTTATAGGTCTTGGCGATTTTTTGTTTTTTTTTTAGGAAAAATTCTAAAATTTATTCACGCTTAATTTTTCGCGGTTTGTCTGTTGATTATTTTATAAGTTCAGTGCATTTCCATAGTCAAAAGGAAGAAAAACTCCTCTATCGAACATTAAAAGTGTAAAAGTCTCGAAAAAATTAATGGAACTTTCGTTTCGAAAATGGAATGTCAGTATCCGATTTCCCCTGCAAAATAAAAATTGTACCTTATGATCTAATTTTTTCAAATTTGGTTATTTACTCTAGCCAGTTTTAGCAAGCGTACTGTAATAGTACGGTTATTCCTTTTCAATCTAAGTCGCAAATATTGGTGCCTATTTTGAGGCACCATAACGGTTTTTTGATAGCATGCGCTTTGACATTCGATTAGCTATAAGTTAACACAGTTGATGCATTTTACATTCATCAAATGAATCGAAAAAAGCTACTTGTTTCAAACAACGGTACAGTAATATAAACACGATTTCAGAGAATTTTTCCGACTCAATATATCTCGCAGTGTTTTTGCAATGCATAATTTGTAGATAATTTGGATTTGTTTTCGAATTCATTGCATGCAAAGTTAGTGTGGATGCCCAGTTTGTTATATGCCAAATTATTGCGAGCAAAGTTGTGTCTTTTTGTATTTAGTGCCATTTTTGCTGCATTGCATTGGCAGTTAATTAGCATCTATAGCTGCTTTATGTGGCTAGTGTTAGCAAATTTTCAAGGGCTCGTAGCGCAGATGCGAGGACAGGGGGCTCAAATTCTCAAGGTCGTAGGATCGATTCTGCCACAGCAAAAGTTTGAATATTTGAAGGCTCCTTGTTACGTTTTTTCGAGTATGCACATTTTGAGTATACAAAGCGTATAAGGACTCGAACTATGTCCATTTTTGAGAATCGAAGAACATAGTTCAGAATCAGACTCATTTATAGGTATTCATGATTTTTTTTTCAGGAAAAGTCTTTAAAATTTGTTGACGCTCAATTTTGGTTTTCACGATTTGACTTGATTACTTTTAAAGTTCATGTCATTTCTTTTGTTAAACGCAAGATGAAAAACGTGATTGACTTCTAATTTCAAAAAGGATTTCAATTATCAGGTTTCCTAGTGAAATATAATTTTTTGCCTATTGAGAGTTTTCTCAAATTGGGTTAAATGTATGAAAAACATCATAAAATGTTAGAGCAATTCAAAGAGCTTTATGGGTATGTTTTTTTCTCTAAAACTTGAAAGATAAAGTCTCAAAAAACATGTAAGTTTTTTCTGTTTCCTTGCGTTCATTACTCTCTTCCAACTGTCAGTTGGGAATGTATTTTATTTCTCTTTTAAAAGCAACTTTTTTGTCGTTTTCTAGCTAGTGTTTGCGGAGTACAGATTCGCCTCTGTGTTTTATGAAAAAATTGTCAATCATAAATTGTTCTAGAAATTTGACAATTTTCAATAAATTTCTAGAAAGCCTGAAAAAGCTTTAAGGCCATCATTTTTTTCTTCGAAATTCGAAAGTCAGTTTTTTTGTTTTATTGCATTCATTACTCTTTTCCAACTGTCAGTTGGCTGTTTTTAGAAAGCGGCCGAAAACGTGAAGACCTCCGCCTTCAACTTGGAGACGAAAATGAGTGAGTTCCAAAGTGCAATCACAGCTGCGAATGAGGAAGTGAAGCTGAAGTCCAAATGTGAGTGGATGGAGATATCGAACGAACAGTTGATTGGGCTGAAAGGTCAACTGAGTGGACACTTGGAAGAGGCCACTACGTTTGTGAAAACAGAACTGAAGAAAGATGAGCCCACGGGTGATGTTTTGCAATAATTTAATTGAAAATCTGTCAAGTATTTGATGCTCATGCGACTAGCAATCTTTGTCACATAGGAATCAGGCAAATATTCTACAAAGAATAACCGAGTTGAACTTAAAGTTGACGTATCGACTCAATCACTTTATTCCAATATAGCAAATTCAACTTGAGTTTTGAAAGAAGACATCAGTTGAGTATTTCTCGCATTGCAACCTCTGATTTCAGGATCCACTCCGCACTCCAAACCCCACAGAGTGCCGAACGAGATAGTAGCTGTGAGGAAGTTGAGCGACATAGAGAGTGAATACTTGAGCTCGAGGACTAAAAGACATCTTGACAACGGAGGAGAAAACATCAGTGGCATACTGGAGCTGGAACAGTCCTCCGAGAATGTAAGAACATTAGTCAAAATAAGATAGTTTTTTTCTTTAATTTCGGCCAAAACTAATCAAAATACAAAAAATGGTCAGGTAAATATAGCATTTCATGACCCGATTGTCCGATAAATGAACTTGATCTAGGCCAATTTTTATATTCATGTAATAACAAAGTGCAAAATCATAGGTCGACAGTTAAGTCAATTACCTAGCAAATATGACTGTATAAATAAGTATTTTTAAGAGTAATGAACGTAGTGAGGACTCTTATATAAGTCTTGCTGATTTTTTTTGTTTTTTTTTCTTTCAGGAAGGTCTTAAAATTTGTTCACGCTCAATTTTAATTTTTCGCGGTTTGACTTGTGATTCCTTTTTAAGTTCAGTGCCTTTCCATTGTTGAAAGGAAGGCAAAATCCACTATCGAACAGCAAGATTGTAAAGGGCACGAAAAACTGATCGACTTCTAATTTCGAAAATGGAAATTAATTATCAGATATCCCAGTGAAAAAAAAGTTTTGCCTATTGATCCAGTTTTCTCAAATTGGGTTAATTTTAACAAAAAGTGTCCATCATAAATTGTTATACAAATTCAAGGAGCCTTAAGACCATCTATTTTTTTCTTCGAAATTCAAAAGTTGAAGATTTTTGAAAAAAAAACAAGTCAGTTTTTGTTTCAGTTTCATTGCGTTCTTTACTCTTTTCCAACTGTCAGTTGGCTATGTTTTTTTTGTATCAAACTTCTACCCTATTCTCATGGTAGAGTCAAAATTAGAAGCAACCCGAAAAGTGACTGATATTTTTGAGTATTGGTTTTGATTCGATTTGATTCTACCTTAAATATTATCCCTCCAACTCAGCAACCTTTTGTGATATTATTATGGAGTAAAATGCATCGAAATGGGGACAAAAATAGCTTTTGCGTTGTGTTGTTGAAGCTCAATGATTGTGTGGTACATGCCGATGTGCCTCTTTCGGCTGATGAAACAGAAAAAATTGAAGGGGGTCCAAATGCAAAGGCGGCCCCGTATGAGCTGAAGGTTTGTTTGGTCATGTGACTGCTTTTAAAACACCACTCCGCTGATTTCAAACTGCAGACTGTTGCTTCTTCTTTGCGATTATGTTCATGCTTTATTCCAGTCTTTTTTAAAGGAGACTTTTGTTGCTAGCAGCCAGTGTAGGGGATTGCTGTTCTAATGGCTCAACCGTCTTCGTGTTGAGGTTTTTTGGCCCTTGCGAAGGTTATTGGTTTCTTAACAGCTACTCAGTTTTTTATGTTTAAGGGTTTTTGGAAAACTTTCATAGAAAAAAGTTGGTTGCCAAATATGTTCCGAAGTTAATTTTGAACTTTAGCTGCAAGTAAAATAAATCTGGTTCATTATAGACTAAACATGTCTGTTATATCTCTGAATTGGTCATCTTTGATTTTATTCCTTATTTGATTTGCCAAAAGAACTGCAAAAGAATTATTACTTGAAAATTTGATATCTAGAATTGAGATAAATTTGTCATTTTACCATTTCTAATGCCTGGTTTGATTGTTCACTTTGCTCCTCATTTTGAAAAGTTCATTTTGTTTAGAAGAAGATGACGAGCGAAACTGAAGGTGGAGAAGGCGAAGAAAACGAAAAGGATTTGAATCAGACCATTCCTATGGATCAGTTCTACCTAGACAATAAACCAGCGAGTGAGCCCCTATGTAAATGGAAGGGCGGACCGATAACTTCAGCATCTAAATCAGGACCAAGAAACAAAACAAGTGCCAAGAGAGCGAAAGTGAACTATGGGGGAAATCCAGTGTTGCCGAAGGCACCAAAGCTGTCAGGTAACAGCAAGTCGCAGAGCGAATAGCATTGAAACTTGAATATGAAATTGAGCAATGATTTCCAATATGATTGCAAACATTTAGAGCTCTTCTACCATATCCCATAGATATAAAAATCAATTTTAGGTGTAACCGTCAATTTTTCGAAGTTGCATAGGAGGTTCAAAATGTGTTAGTAATTGAGTAATAAACTACATTTCAATGTTCATGACAATTGGATAACGCAAACAAAGGACATAATAGAAAAATGCAGGTGGGAGAAAAGGTATAAGAGCCATATTTTGTTACTTGCTGTTAATTTATTGTCAATAAGTTTCAAACTCAACCATCAGTCGAGTTCATCAAAAAGTTGAAACAATCATTAAGTGCTCGTTTCCGAGCTGCTACATTTCAGGACTTTATATTTGGCTATCGCGTGAAAATTATTCAATTATGCAATGCTCTGCAAGATATCGGAATATTCGATTAATTTTGAAATGAGCTATTTAAGTTTTTTTTTGGAATTGTGATATGTCAGCTTTGCTGCCAAAAATTGTTTTGAATTTGATTACACTTGTTACATTATTTGTTTTAGATCAGCGTTTAAATTTTGAAAGTTGATCTTAAAGTTTTGTGGCTTTTATTGAAATTCGTGAATAATGTCGTTTCCTCGATTATTTGATGTACAATAATTTTTTGTGTTGCTGATGTGAGATTTTTTGTGAATATCAGTTTTTAAATAAATGTAGTTTTTCCTCAATAATGATAAATCAGTATGTGCCTTAAAAGCTCTGCATTTAGTATGTGTATTTACACAAGCAAAGCGAAGTGTATTATTACGAACAATTTTTTTTCCAACCTAAGTCGCAAATAAAAATGCTCATTAGTGGCACTTTTGGTATATTTCAATTTCATCATATTTAAGCATAGGTAATTTAATAGCATATAGTGCTAGTTCATTTTTAGCTAGTGTTAGGTCCTGTTTGAAAACAACAGGTGTTATGAAAATGTATTTCATTTTTTTCTCAAAATACTACTGAACCAATTTTCAAAACAATGGTGTCATTGGAAAAACTGGCTGGTATTCTATGTGCCTGCTTGTTTTGCTAGTCTCTTTTCAGTTTACACCACGTTCTACGGCTTTCGAAAGTTTCAGTAGGGGGATTTTGACATTTTGGTTAATTTTTTGAATTTTCTCAAAAACTACCTTGCCAAATTGGAGAATAAGAGTTCAACCGGAAGAAAAAACGCTATGCCCTGCCTTTTGAAAAAATTTGGCCTTAGAAAGAGTAAAAATTTTGAAACTTTGCCCGTTTTTTGGAAACTTCTTTTTTTCAAAAACTAATCTGCTGATTCTGAGGCTGATAATTCATTCAAACTAACATTGTGCTTAGATTTTTCTTGTAAAATCTGTTTCGCTTTATTTGTTTTGTAGAAAAGCCGATATGGACATCGGAAAAATCTATTTTTTGAAGTTTTTACGGTTTTTTTTTAAAGAAATTTCATCACTGTTCTCAAAAGCTACTAGCTAAAGCAGATGTTAAGGATTCAATCTGAAAATCAGGGTGTGGAATTTCTCCCTTCATACAAGACTACTCCCATGCTTTACTAGAAAAAATTTTTGTGAATTTAGGAAAAGCCAACTTATTCAATTTTTGATCGTTTTTTGGAATCTTTTTTTCCCGAAAACTACCCAGACGAATCTGAGATAAAGAATTCAGTTGAAAAATTGATAAGTAGTTTTTTCTTAAGTATGCAGCTAATCCACTACTTAAACAGAAAAATCACTAGGGTTTTGCGTTATGTTCATTTTTAAAAATTTCAAAGTTACTCATTTCGGTATCAGTACAAAATTTGATCAAAATATTAAAACATGTGAATCTAGCACAAACTGGACAACTAGTTTTTCTTCCAACCGTTCCTAGCGCGATTGCGAGGAAGTGGAAATCCTAATCAACCGGTAGGAGATCCAAATCTGGAACATTGAAATAGATAATTTTTTGGTCGAGTTTTTCCTCCATCGCATTGGCAATTTGATAGAAACTGCAGCTGCTTTTTTGGTGGCTAGTGTTAGTAAATTAACAAGAGACCATGAAGCAGATATGAGAGCGTGTTACTCCCAAGCCTTGCAAAAAAGTGTCTTTTTAACCTTTTCCTCATTTCACTTGGTTTTGCCTGTTCAGAGATTTTTTTTGCATTTTCGTTGCTTGTGTTTGCGAAGCGCAGCTTCGCCTGTGTAAAAGCTCTGCATTTAGTACGGAAAAGAAAGGTGAATTACATAAGGTAATCTTTAAGCCCAGCTGATTCAATGCTAAAGTGTCAGAGAGAGAATTCTTGAAATTCAAAAAAATTAAGATAGTGTATTTTCTATGAAACTAAAAATTAAGAACATTTAAAAATCGTTTTGTATCTCATTGTAAAAAATAAAAAACACTTCGACATCTGATTTCGGTCCGTATGTTTACACGTAAACGCTTTTTTGTATCAGGCCAGGTTTCCGTTTTTTGGTTCAATGAATCAAGTGACTTAGTCGTATAGTTTTTTATCTGAAAAAGTTGCTCATTCTCAGATTTAACGCAATTTGATGTATATCAAGTTCAATACAATTCTGCTGCTAAAAAACAGATAACATCGGCTCTGGAATAAAAATGGTCCTAAAAGCATGACTGATTTTAAAGCTAAAAATGGACTTCAATGTTCTCATTGAAACAGTTTTTTTCTATTAATCTCATTTTTGTTCTGATCTGTGAAAATCAGTTACCACAAATGATCGGACTGGGTTGAGTGATGCATCATTTTGAAGCCTTTTCAGTCGTGATTCAAACGACATCAAAAAAATTTAAATGGTGTCGAGAAAAACCTGTTTGAAATTTTCGAGTTTTTGTCTAATTTCTTTTGTATGCTTAATTTAAGCCTTGAAAATTTAGTTTCATTCAAATCAAGTTACTTTTTAGAGTTTTCAGCTTCATTAAGTCAAAACGTTTAAAAATTTAGTTAAAAAATTAAGAAAAATTATTTAAAAAAACTTGTTTTTTTTTTGTTAGTTGTTCTCAAAAATTATTTTCCATTTGACAGATTTTACAATGACTGGCAAAAATGCCTAGGCGCTACGTTTTCGCTCAGATTCCTTTATCACACCAAGCCGAAAAAACTACACTAATTAGCAAAATAATTTAGTTGTAATTTTTCAAGACTGGTCGGAACATTCTGTGCTACTTGCACAGTAACCGGCTATCCTTGTTTCTAATTGGATTAATTTTATATTCAAAATATATAAAGTAATCACCGTTGCGATAAGCAAGGATGTTGCGATCGGGTACAAACTTTTTATTATCGTAAACAACTTTGTTCACAGAATTTGCTCGTGAAAGGCTCACATGTGCTTAAATTGATTTATTATAAGTTCAAAATCAATCAACTGTCTGGCGTAGAGGTAAGACACCTACTTCAGACCCCAAAAGCTTGAGGTTTGATACCGGACGGGATTTGTTTTTTTTTGCAAACAAGTTTGTCCGTCTGTTTATTTTAGTGTCGGCTTAGTTCCCGTAGCCCGATTTTTTTTACTTTCAGCTTCCAAATTGCTGTAACACCCATGCTTGCGACCACAAAACGCGGGCGTTGGGTTTCAGTTGGGACCTCTTTTTATGAAAAAAGCTAAATTTTGGCTATTTAACATAACTGTATGTCTGCTTATTTTTGTCGGCTTATTTCCCGCAGAAAAGATTTTTTTGAATGCTCGGCTTCTTTGTCTCTATTAATGCGGGTAATTTTGAAAACTCTGAATTTGACGAAAATGTATCACTCTTCTTTTGGTTGTTTTGAGTTCTTTGATTTTCCCAACAGTTTTTTCTACTCTTTTTTCCCAATGTACGTCAATCAATTGTCGCGCAGTTATGCGTAAAACTGTTTAAGCATTTTTTAAACCAGCTGGCTGAATTTGTGCGTACTAGTCTTTATTGAGTGATTTTGACTGCCATGAGAGTTAGCCGCTTTTAACAAGTTTTCAATGCTGCTTGTTTCACCTACGAGAGAACAAGTGTACTTGAAATAGGGAGCTAGTCATTTCACCGTAATGACTTCTGTAATCTTTAGAAGTTGACCTCTCGTTATTATAGAGTCTCAATATTTCAGGACCCTTCTTACTTGGTAAAAAAAAGCAAAGCACAGGCTTCGGAACAATAAGTCTGGATTTCGAGCATCGGTGGGACTTAGTTTTTCTTCGATGTGTGCATGTTGATTTTTTAGAATTCTGGAATTGTAGACATTTTTTGTCAGTTTATTACTAGTCGGAATACTTTTCAGTTACACGAATCTATTTTCTTCAAAACCTCACTTTCCACTTGATTCAAGAAATTTTAGTTATCATAGCAAATTGTTATGGGGGCGTATAGTGCTGGTGTATTGTTCTTGACAAAATGAACATCAAAATAAAAATCTAAGATTTGTTGTAGATCAATTTTTTTTTTGAAAAAATCGTTCTATTCGGCATAGCTTGCAATGTTATGCTCGTTTTGTGTCATGCGCCCCTGTAAAAAGGTATTTTGAAAACCAAACTGCAGCAACCAATGCGAAGAGGAAGATAAGCTTGGCATTTTGTATTACTTTAATAACACGGGCTAGTCGAAAACTGTAAATTACTAACTTTTCTCATAATGACGCAAAATGAAATAACTTAAACAATTTAAATCATATCAGCACTATTTGAGCAGAAAATGAAAATATAAAAAAAATAGAAAGTATAAAAATTAGGTTTCATTATCTTTTATAGAGCGTTTTTGTATCGGTAAAATATACGCTTAACAATATTAGACCAGGTAGGTCCAGCATTAGCTGGGCCACAAGTTTATTTCCAAGCGACTCTAGTGCAGTTGCGAGAACGGGAGACTCCTAAGCATCAGGTCGGACATTTAAATCCGGAACGTTTAAATAGTTTTCATTTTGGTCGAATTTTTGCTGAATAACAATGGCACTTTGACAGAAACTGTAGCTGCTTTATTGGTAGCTAGTGTTAGAAAAATTACAAACGGTCGTAGAGCAGATGTGAGAACGTGATACTCATAATCTAAACAAAGTTTTTTCCAAGTTGTAATTTTAATCTTCCTTATTTCACTTTGCTTCGCTTTTTCCTCATTTGTATTTGCGAAGCGCAGCTTTGCCTCTAGCAGACTTGCGTTCAATTTACATCAAAATAAGTTGAAATCTATTCATTGGATCTGCTGATGGTGCAGAGCTAACGCAAACACTTGGGACGTTAAAGGCCTGAGCTGGAATTCGGACGGGGTCTGTAATTTTTGCGAGAGAGAAATTTTTAGACCATCGGACGTCTCCTTTTTTGGTCCATTTAGATCTTTTTAACGCAGCATTCACTTCGTCATAACTTATTTGTTTTGAAGTTTAGTGAAGGAAGTGAAGACATTTGCTTAGATTTTAATGATTTTTAACGTTTTTAGAAAAAATCTGAAATTTTACGGAGAAACTTGAATTTTTAGGTGGTTTGCTTTAACTTTTTTTACAAAACAAATTATTAATTTGCTGAAAAGGAGACAAGCTAAACTTTTAATGACGGAAATACAAAAAGCGCAAAAATCTACATGACTTTAATTTCGAAAGTTTATTTTAGTTTTCCCAGAAAAAAAATGCCTATTGAGCCAGTTTTCTTAAGCAAACTATTGTGTTATACTACTAAGTTTTCCCAACCAAGCATTGGAAATTTTTCGTTGGCAATTTATTAGCATGTGTTGCAA